TGCATTGTGTCCCAGGTCCTTCACTTTCTTCAAGACTTGGACAAAACATCAGTTTCTACATGAAGTCTTGATTAATTTCTTCAGCTGCTGGAGTCTTCCTTCTCTACTGACCTTATATTTAACTACTTTGTTTTTGTTTTGTATTTATTTTATATCTGTTCATATGTTTATTTGTTTCTCTTGAAAGAAAATAAACTTCTTGAAAAAAATATATGCATTATTAAATTTATTTTGTCCTTTTATCCCCAGGACCTAGCAAAGTACCTGACACACAGCAAACCCCTAATAAATGAATTATGATTGAGTGACTGATTGATGCTCAGGTTTTTCTATTTCTCCTGTATCTAGTAACCCAATGTCTCTCTCACTCCCCCTCTCCCTACAAACGAGGGTATATGTACAGTCTCTAATGTTAAAACAAACAAAAATTTTTTTAAAAAGTTATGGTTTCACATATAACTCCTCCCTTATAACAAAAAACAAATTAACCTGATTAGAAAATATATGTAACTAAAGCACAAAATAAATGTCACATATCATCATCATCATCATTGTTGTTGTTGTCATAAAAAAAATAAAAAACAAACAATGCAGTGGCCAACTTTGGTGCTATGTTCTATACCTGTGATCCTGTAATATTCTATACCTGTGATCTGATATCTCTTTATCAAGAAGGTGGTGATTTGTTTTTATCATCTTTTCCCTAGAGCCAAAATTGGCTAGCTCTTCAGCCTAAATTCAGAAGCTTTAGTGTAGGTGTTTTTTTTTTTTAAATTTACATTACTGTTGTCCTCACATATTTTGTTCCCTGGCTCTACTTTCTTTACTTTAGATCAGTTCCTACAAAACTTCCTATGTTTCTCTGATTTCCTTCCATTTGTCAATTCTTAAGGTGCAAAAATATTCTATTACATTTGTATACTATAATTTGTTTAGCTCTTTTACTATCCATGGACGCTTCCTTTGTTTCTACTTTTTTTGTTTGTTTCTGTATATAAGGCTAATATGAATATTTGGGTATATATGAAGTCTTTATTTCTGTTCTTAACATCCTAGGAGTATATACCCTCTGCTGAAGGATTGGTGAATCAAAGAACATGAAGAGTTTAATGACTTTTTTTCTCATTATTCATGGATAGAGATGCCTTCTGAAGTGCCTTTCACCTCTGAGATTCTGTGATTCTTTGATTTGAGGTGTTTTGAATTGACTACCCAGTTGCAAATCATAGGCTTAATAGGCTTAATAAATATTTATTTAATGATTGATTGATTTTTCAGGTTAATATTATCAAATCAAGGGATAGGAACAATGTTCAATAACATTTCTATTGCTAGTAATCTCAAAGATCAAACATTCAAATTCATAATGTTCAACACAATCAGCTCAAAAGTAAAATTACGGTACAGTATCAGTTCACAAATTGTTTTCCCAAGTTGTAGCATGATGCCCTAGACGTAGTGGCATAACCCACCTGCCATATTACTAGAATGAATTCTGCAGCCTCACATACCACCCTTTTGGTTAAAGTGTAAAGGCTTTCCTATTCTATAGAAAATACAAAATCTAATCTTCCCTTTCCTTCTGTAACATCTTGGATTAAGTCACGAGCAGTGGCCACAAATAGAATACTAAGTGAGGAACCATATGGCAATGTCTACTTTAAAAAGCCAAAAACAGAACCATAAAAAAACCCTACACAAGTGTGAAAGGAGGAAATCCCTTAAAGAAGGATGTGTGTGTGGTTATTTTCAATTTTTGTATATTGACTGTGCTGATTAGCTCCTCTTTACAAAGATGCTCTTGAACTAATTAAATTAATTTGAGATGAAACTTTGGTTCATCTCCATATCCTACTCAAGTGGAAGTACCTGTTACTTAAAAATGTAAATTGCACTGAATTTTCGATGGGCTTTTCATCTTTTCACTTAACATATCAGGAGCCAGGCCCTTAATAAGGGGAGAAAAGAAGGAGTAGAGAAAGAGGACAAGCTGAAGAATATCTAAAATGTTAAAGCCAGGGCTTTGTCTCATACAGCTGAACTTTAGGCCTTACTGAAACCATTTGAAACCCTTTAGTAGTATAGAAACAACAAAGTAACCCAGTTAGCAAAAAACAAAATGAGGTAAAATAGAAAGTTACACAGGTAGAGCCAAGATGGCAGGGTAAAGGCAGGGACTCATCTGAGCTCTCCCCCAAACCCCTCCAAATAAATACCTTTTTAAAAATGACTCTAGGGGCAGCTAGGTGGCAAAGTAGATAGAGCACCAGCCCTGGAGTCAGGAGGACCTGAGTTCAAATCTGGCCTCAGACACATAATGCTCCCTAGGTGTGTGATTCTGGGCAAGTCACTTAACCCCAAATGCCTCACACACACACACACACACACACACACACACACACAGAAAAATGACTCTAAATAAATTCTAGAGCAGTGGAACCCACAAAAAGATGGATTGAAACAAAATTCCAGCCCAAGACAACTTAGAAGGCTGGTAGGAAAAGTCTGTTATATCAGGGTAAGAGAGGAACACAGTCCAGCCCAGGCTGCACCAGGGAATCCCCAGCCCCAGAAAACCCAGAGCAGGTCTTGGGGTGACTGAATCACTAGCAGCAGTGACAATTTCCAGACCTCTCAGCCCACAGACACTAAAGACTACTTAGAAGGTCAGCAGGAAAAGTCTGTTGGGTGACAGTGGAGCGTAATCCAGCACAGAACCCACCAGCACAGTCCCTGCCCCCAGAAACCAGAAGCAGGCCTTGGGAGCGACTGAATCAGCATCTGCAGAGGTAGCAGAAGTGGCTACTTTTGGAACTATCAGCCCGCAGATGGCAAGAGGGTGAAATAACTGGTCAGATTACAGGGGTCTTTTTGGTAGCACTGAGGAAGGACTTTGCCCATTCTCAGATCCAGGTCACAGTCCTGGGTGTGAGTCCTAGGGTGAGGAGGAGAACTAGCACAGCAGAGCTTTCAGCCACAATGGAGGGGAGACCCTCCTCACAGTTCTAGGGCAGAAAAGAGTGCTTGTGATCACTCACAGACCAGAGCACAGGCCAGGAAAACAGTAAACACCTATCCCTGGATCATACCACCCTGGAAGAACTGAAAATGTATCGGTTACTAGAAGTTGCTGTACAAAACCCCTGAAGCTTGAGACAGTGTACTCTGGAAGCAGAGCCCTACTTTAACAAACAGTTAAAAGTCAAGTAATAGGCTGGAAAAATGAGCAAACAACAGAAAAAAAAAACAACTCTGACTACAGAAAGTTATTTTGGTGACAAGAAAGAACAAAACACACACTCAGAAGATAGCAAAGTCAAAGCTCCTACATCCAAAGCTTCCAAGAAAAATAAGAATTGGTCTCAGACCATGGGAGAGCTCAAAAAAGATTTTGAAAATCAAGTAAGAGAGGTAGAAGAAAAATTTTGAAGAGAAATGAGAGTGATACAAGAAAATTATAAGAAAAGAGTCAACAGCTTGGTCAAGGAGACACAAAAAATACTGAAGAAAGCAGACTAGGCCAAAACGTAAAAGAGGTCCAAAAAGCCAATGAGGAGGATGCCTTAAAAAGCAGAATTGGTCAAGTGGAAGAGGTCCAAAATCTCACTGAAGAAAATAATTCCTTAAAAATTAGAATGGAGCAAATGGAAGCTAATGACTTTATGAGAAACCCAGAAGCAATAAAACAAAACCAAAAGAACGAAAAAAATCTCATTTGAAAAACAACTGACCTGGAAAATAGACCCAGGAACGATAATTTAAAAATTTTTGGACTTCCTGAAAGCCATGACCAGACAAAGAGGCTAGACCATCATCTTTCAAGAAATTACCAATGAAATCTGCCCTGATATTGTAGAACCAGAGAGTAAACTAGAAATTGAACGAATCAACCTATTACCTCCTGAAAGAGATCCCAAAATGAAAACTGCCAGGAATATTATAGCCAAATTCCAGAGTCACAGGTCAAGGAGAAAATATTGCAAGCAGGCAGAAAGAAACAATTCAAGTAATGTGGAACCACAGTCAGGACAACACAAGATTCAGCAGCTTCTGTCTTAAAGTATCAAAGGGCTTGGAATTTGATATTCCTAAGGGTAAAGGAGCTAGGATTACAACTGAGAATCACCTACTCAACAAAGCTGAGTATAATCCTTCAAGGGAAAAAAAATAAACATTCAGTGATATGGAAGACTTTCAAGCATTCTTGAAGAAAAGACTAGAGCTGAATAGAAAAATTGACTTTCAAATACAAGACTCAAGAGAAGCTTGAAAAGGTAAACAGGAAAGGAAAATCACAAAGGACTTAATAAGGTTAAGCTGTTTACATTCCTACATGAGAAGATGATACTCATAACTGATAAGAACTTTCTCATTATTAGGGTAGTTAGAAGGAGTATATACAGACAGAGGACACAGGTGTGAGGTGAATATGAAAGGAAGATATCTAAAAATTAAGAGTGAGAGAGGAATGTACTGGGAAAAAGAGAAAGGGAGAGGCATAAAAGAGGCAAGAAGATTTATAGTGGATGGGAAGAGCTGGCAGTGAGGGGAAGTGAGTAACCTTACTCTCATCAGAAGTGGCTCAAAGAGGAAATAACATACACACACAATTAGGTATAGAACTCTATCTTACCCTAAAGGAAAGTAGAAGGGGAAGGAGATAAGAAGGGTGGTAGTGGTGATAACAGGGAGGGCAGATTGGGGGAGGGGATGGTCAGAAGCAAAATACTCTTGAGGAGGGACAGGGTGAAGGGAGAGAGAACAGAATAAAAGGGGGTGGCTTTCCTTTTGTTTTTTACATATTTTGTTGTCTTCCTTGCCACCTATCAGCTTCACACAAGACTTAGTTGTTGTTACTGGTACGGCCCTGAGTGAACCTCAAAGGAGAAGAGGTTACTGAGTGATGATGGTAGAGGGAGAACCTGGAAGTGGCAATGGTAAACAAAGAAATGTTCCAATTTTCCCACCTCAGAGGAATGAGTGAAAATAATTGCTTGCAGGTTGGTTGAGGACCATTCTTGGAAAACAAAATAAGCCCAACATTGAAATTCTTTGGATTTCTCTGGACATTGACATAACTAACCAGCACTCCTGGTTCAAATGTGCTCTTGGATCCTTACATCCAAGTCACTTGTTTGACCAGTTTTTTGGAGAAGGCCTTTTTGAATATGACCTACTGCCTTTCCTCTCTTCCACCATCAGCCCTTATTACTGGCAGTCACTCTTTCAAACTGTGTTAGAATCAGGCATTTCTGAGGAAAGATCCAACAGAGACAAGTTTATTGTCTTCCTGGATGTAAAATGCTTCTCTCCTGAAGACTTGATTGTGAAGGTAGTAGATGACTTTGTGGAAATTCATAGGAAGCACAGTGAAAGACAGGATGACCACGATTATATTTCCCATGAGTTCCTTCATAGATGCCGTCTACCTTCCAATGTGGATCATGCCTCCATTTTCTGCTCCCTGTCTACTGATGGCATGATGACCTTCTCTGCTCCCAAGATCCACTCTAATATGGATTCAAACCAATGGTTGATCCATCCCTGTATCTCATGAGGAGAAGCCCACCTTGGCTCCCTCTTCCTAAGCTGAGGCAATGTGAGTCACATAGGCTGCTCCATCTGCAGTCTTTACTCACAAAGCCATTGCATAGATGTCAGGGGAAAATGTAGAAAAGTCAGGGTTGTTTTTTTCCTCTGCTCTATCCCCTCTTTTTTGTTATTTTCATTTTCTTAGATGGGATGAAGGTCTGAGAGAGTCTGAGACATTGGGCCTTGAGGCCTAAAACCTAAAGAGCTATGATGTTAGTGATTGACCTAAAATCTAAATGTTAAAACCCAAATCCCATCACCTAGCTGACTTGCAGAAATGGCCATTGTCTTGTGCTGCTTTTAATAACATCTTCAAGTGACTGAGAGTGCTCCTGGTGTTAACCTCCAATAAACCAAATGAAGAAGAATCAACAACTGAGCTGATCAAGGTGAAGATAAATTGAACTAGAGGGCATGGGGAGTAATACACATTTAATAAAATATCTCCAGGTAACTCAAAGGTTCCTCACATATGATGCAACCTAATACCTGCAGGTCACAGCTGGATTTTTAGACAGGTGCATTCCAATAGCAAGGATGTTAGTTTCTGTTAGCAATGCTTTATATGACAACAAGGAGTAGGTATTTCACAGCTTTGGAGATTCTGTGAGAGAGTGACATCATAATATGAAGGCTTCAAATCCCCACTGAGATCTCACAGGGCTGTAAGGATCAGATGATCTTTCTCAAAATCTTAGAATTTCTAACAAACGTTCACCACAATGTAAGAATACCACTACTGGTCATCACTAAAGTAAATATGACATGAGCTAACAAAAAAAAAAAGGAAGAAGAAAGGGGGATGGGGGAATAGGATGGAGGGAAATACAGTTAATAATAGTAACTGTGAAAAAAATGAAATCAATCGCTTCTGATAAAAGTCTCAAACATATAGAGAACTGAACTGAATCAAGTTTATAAAAATAAAAGCCATTCCCCAATCAATAAATGATCAAAAGATACAATCAGCTTTCAGATGAAGTAGTCAAAACTATCTATAGCCATATAAAAAATTCTAACTCACTATTGATGGGAGAAATGCAAATTAAAACAATTGTGAGATGCCTATTAGATTGTCTAATAGAATAGAAAAAAAATAAATGCAAATGTTGGAGGGGATGTGGGAAAAATGAGATATTAATGCATTGTTGGTGGAGTTTTGTACTGATTCAACCACTCTGTAGAGCAATTTGGAACTATGCAAAAAAGGGTTATAAAATCATGCATACCCTTTGACTTGGCAATACCACTACTGGGTCTGTATCCCTAAAGAGAAAAAAAAACAAAAAAAGAAAAAAAGACCTATATGTAGAAAAGTATTTATAGTACCTATTTTCTGGGGGTACAAAATTAGAAATTGAAGTGGTGTCCTTCAATTGAAGAATGGCTGAACAAGTTGTGGCATGTGATTACGATGGAATACTATTGTACTCTAATAAATGATGAGCAGGATGCTCTGAGAAAAACCTGGAAAGACATGCATGGGCTGATGCAAAGTGAAATGTACTGTGTACAAAGTCACAGCAATATTGTAAGATGATCAGCTGTGAATGACTTATCTATTCTCAAATACAATGATCCAAGACAACTCTGAAGAACTTATGAGGAAAAATGCTATGCATTCCCAGAAAAAGAAATGATGATGTCTTAATGCAGATTGAAGCATACTTTTTACTTTATTTTTCTAAAGTTTTTTTTGTGTGTTTTCTTTTAAAATGTGATTCTTACAGATATGTTTTGCATGACTACACATGTATAACCTATATTGAATTGCTTGCCTTCTCCATGAGGCAGGATGGGGAGGGAGGAAGAGAGAGAATTTGGAACTCAAAGTTTTAAAACAAGTATTAAAAATTGTTTTTACATGTAACTTGGGAGAATAAAATGCTAAATAAATACAAAAAAAAATAGGAAGTTACTAGGTGAAATTCTCCACAGACTGGTTTCATCTTGTTTCCCTCCCCTCTAGCCCAGTCTAGCAGCTTCCTAGCTTAAAACATTGCTCTGAGGGCATGGTTTGTGCTGCTTGTCCCCTCTGTTCTTGGTGATGCCCCATGTTTAATAACTGCTAGTCATAGCTTTGGAAGCAGGTCTCCCCAACCCCCAGGTGAAATTATAGTAGAGAGCCTTATTGCAGTTGAGCTGGCAGGTGAGAATGGAGGCCCTCCAGTCTCAGACTCCTCATAGTCCGCTGAAGGAGTCAAAGAATTTATATCATCTTCTTATAATATCAGGGAGTCATGAGATGTATAGATACATTAAGATACTCATATAAGTACAAGACTTGCTCACATTTCTATTGTGCTTCAAGGGCGGCTAGGTAGTTAGTGGATAGAGTGCTGGGCCTAGAGTCATGAAGATCTGAGTTCAAATCTAGACTAAGACATTTACTAGCTGTGTGATCCTGGTTAAGTCACTTAATCCTATTTGTCTCAATTCCTCATCTCTAAAATGAATTAAACAAGGATATGGCAAACCACTCCAGTATCTGTGTTACAAAACCCCAAATAGGGCCTCAGAGAGTTGAACGTGACTGAAGCAATAACAAGAAAATGTGATGCCCTCCTCACTGCTGCCATATGAGATGGATTGATGTAGTGAAACTATGAAATCCCTCTTCAGATTAAGAATGGCTACATCTACTCCTCAGTGTTCTAGGGGCACCCCTGAGGGATGTTGGAGTGGTTTTCTATAATTCTATTGGCTCAAGCTCCCATTCTAGTGTGCTTTCCTCATGCCAGTTAGCATATCACTTCAATTTAGACAATTAATATCAATTATCACAAAGGAATATTTACTTTGATTATATCAAGAACAGAAACACAAACACCAACCCCACCACCTCCTACACACACACCTGCAGATCATACTTTTCCCTATACCACTTTGGTCTCCAGGGAGAATGGTTTTGAATTGAAAGTAGTTTGTACATAGCATTCTCTTCACCAAGTTCACTTCTAAATGCAACATGGCTGATTGATGGATAAGTTAACTTCTCTGTTACCATTAGACTAGACTTTCCTGGGAGGTCACTCAGGACTTTATTCCTTACTTCTGATTTCCAGAAAATCCTAGCTGTATTTGACCCCCAACCCAACCCTTTACAATGGTAAATGTACTTAGACCCCACTTTATAGCTGAAGAAATGGAATAAGAGAGATCAAGTGTCTTACTCATGGTCTTGGAAGAGATGCTAGCAAGATTCAAGCCTGGGCTTCGTGACTCAAAGTAGAGGCTACAAGTGGAGAGAACGCAGGTTTGGGAGTCAAAGGACTTGGATTCAAATCCTATTTGAATTGATAGGGTGGGACTAGATGGATGTTTAAGGTTGTTTTAAGTTCCAATTCTGTAATCATATAATCCAGAGAAAAGGAAATAGAATATATCAATGTAAATTAAGGCCCTTCAGGTTCTGAGGCCTCTGGGAAGATGAGACATCCAAATGTATCCACCTTTTCCTCATTCTCTGCTGGAAACAGCACAGCCTATACTTCACATCTCATCTAAGCATCTAACTGGACCATCTTGCCCTGCTGTCATTGATGACCCTCTCTTACTCCCGGTTTTCCACATTCTGTTCAAGGCAAAGTAGTCCTATCACTACTACTATTGTTTCTGGAAGAGGTCATATCAACTATGAGCTCTGACTCTCTAGAAAAAAAAAAGGCATCCTTCCCTGGCCACCATTCCCTTATTCCTGCTATCTTTTTCCTATTATAATTTAGGCTTTTTGAAGGTAGAAGCTGGCCCACTTTTTTATTTACATTCTGACTTCATAGCACAGTGTATGCAATATAGTACATATTTGTTAAATGATCATTCTTTCTGTTGCTCCCTTTCTACCAAGATTTCAATGTCATGTATCCTGTGGAAAAAAAAAAAGGATAATGCTCCTTGATGCCTACAAACTTCATAATTTTTACAAGAAATGAGGTTTCTCACAAATAATATTTCTCCAACAGGGGTTTTGTCAAATACTAATTTCACAGTTGGTGGGAAAAAAAGGAGCAATAGATTTGGATATATGTGGTACAAAAGATTCTTCCATGTGGCATGAATGACAGGTTTTAGTTTATATATTTTCAGAACTTATAAAATGCTTTGCATTTTCAACAAAGATTTGAGTCTCTCATCATCTCCTTTCATTTCTCTCCTTGAGGTAACCTTTACCCACACCTGTATATATGTTCACTCAATTTTTTTTTTTACCATTGAGCAATCATTTACTGAGGATCTACTGTGTGTAGGATGTCAGGAGATTCAGATACTGGTTTTGGGATGTGACCTTCCTCACACTTAGCATTTAAAATATCTTCCACATCTGGAATACCTCATTCCTTAACTTCTCCTCTTAGAATCCTTCATTCTTTTCGACGTTCTGCCCAAGCTCCACCCACTAAATAAGGCCATTCTTGATCATTCCAACTGCTAGTGCCTAGCTCCTAAACATCATGTATTTATTTTAAATATATTTTGCATATGTCTATATGGGTACATGTTGTTTCCTTTGATAGAATGTAAGCTCCTTGAGGGCAGGTTCAGCTTAATTTAATTGCTGTATCTCCAATACATGCCTTGGTGCTGGGCACCTAGTAGGAACTTAATAGATACTTGTTTGATTGGCTGATGTATTAGAAGGTATTGTTTGCTTTGAAAAGCTCCTCCATAATTCTCACCACTACAGAGAACTTGGGGAGGTGATTGCTTGTTTCTAATTCTCTGGAGTTACTTAGTGGCTCAAGGAAACTGGTAGACATCTGGCATATAGTGACAGGTGGGACAGGTGAAGACCAACCTTGGTGAAGAGAAGGTGGGGGCATGGTTGAAAATTAGTGTTTAGAGAAATTGTCTACTATTTTGCATAAGGAATGTCATGTGATTCATAGGTTAAGGTTTATAGCTTTAAGCATACACATTCTCTCATTTTACAAGTAAGGAAACTGAAGCCTAGAGAGTGAGTTAGTTGGTCAACAAGAATTACTTAAAGGCTTACTAT